AAGAAGTTTTTTTTTTTTTTTTTTAAAGATTTTATTTATTCATTTGAGAGAAAAAGCGAGCACAGGAACAGGGGGAGGGGCAGAGGGAGATGCAGACTCCCAGCTGAGCAGGCAGCCTGACGTGGGGCTCGATCCCAGGACCCTGGGATCATGACCTGAGCCAAAGGCAGACACTTAACCGACTGAGCCATCCAGGCACCCCAAAGGAAGTTTAGAATATGGTTTCTGCCATCATTTAGGAAGGGGAAACATATGAAACATACCGGTCCATATAAGACAGCAGTAGAGAGTTGGGTGTCAGGGCCATAGAAGTTCAGAGGGGAGAGGGCCACTGGACCCCAGGCTGGTCCCCCCAGATGAACCCAAAATGGCTCATGATGGTGGGAGCAGGTACAGGTGCAGAGAATTTGTGTAACATTCAGAAGAAAACTAATAAAACCAGGTTCAGGGAGCTGGAAACCTCAGGTTTCAAAGGTAAGCAAAGTCAGGTTAAGATATATTTTGGCTTAGATATATTTTGCTCGATCTCTGTTGGAAGTTCAGATTAAGGCAGGCACTGGGCATTTTAGAGGCATTGTATTTTATTAAAGCCACACTAAACTATAAAGCCCTCTGGGGCACAAAATGGTGAGAAGTGCTATAGAGAAAACGAAGCAGGAAAGGAGTAGAGGAGGTGCCGGAGTGGAGGGTGGTGTCATCAGAGATGACCTCAAGGAGAAGGTGATATATGCGTGAACATAAAGGGGGTGAGGGAGCTACCCAAGAGGTTACCTGGAGAAAAAGCATTCCAGGTCTTTGAGCAAGCACAGAGACCCTGAGGTGGGAGTGAGTTTGGCACATGTAAGAAACAAGACAGTGGTCTGTGTGGCTGGAGCAGAGTGAGCAGAGAAGCCCTAGAAGCTGGGTTCAGGGAGGTGATGACTGCAGTGTGGGGGCCTTTTGGGTGTTCACCTCAGTGAAATGAGGCGCCATTTCAGGGTTTTCGTGGAGGAGTGACCTGATCCAACTTCTGTTTTCAGTGACCAGTCTGGCAACTTTCAAGAAGGGCAGAGCAAGGTCTTTATTTTTTTATTTTTTTAAATTTATTTATTTGAGAGAGAGCATAAGAAGCAGACTCCCCATTGAGTGGGGAGCCTGATGCGGGGCTCGATCCCGGGACTCTGGGATTGTGACCTGAGCCGAAGGCAGCCGCTTAACTGACTGAGCCACCCAGGCTCCCCAAGGGCAGAGCAAGGTTAAGGGTCTGCTGTACTTACCGGGACAAGAGCTAATGGTGAACTTGATC